CCATGGAATGATGATGATGATGTATGTTTGGGGCTGCATTGCAATATTGATTGTTCGGATCATTGGTATCTAAGTCTTCCGCTGTGCTATCTTATACTTTGTATTGAGAGGTCAGTTCTTGTTCTGGTCTGCACCGTTACAGTATGCAACAGTTTGGTATCGGAGCGGACCTCTCATTCAGAGGACCCGCTCAATCAAGTAGCCAGCTTGCGATCTATTGATCGCTCATTAGTGACGCAAGTAGGACTTCGTCAAATCTCTGAATTTTTTTTTCTCGCAACAACTATCTGAAGATTTCTGATATTCGCATTTCATTTTACCAGAAAATTTCTGATATTAGTATTTCGTTTTCACGTAACAAATATCTGAAAATTTCTGATAAATCGCATTTCGTTTTGTCTGAAAATTCCCGATAGTAGCATTTCGTTTCTCTGATATTTCGCATACATAGCTGAAATCTCTGAAGTTAGTATTTCGTTTTCTAGGCAGATTGGGATAACGATAGAAGTGGTCATATTCTCGGAAACCGAAATTATTCTTTTCTGAAAATCGAATTTCCATTCTATCTCGCAAATTTTTTTTGAAAACCGAAATCTTGCGGAACCTACCAACACTTCGTGAAGCATATTCGGAGATTGCCATATTCTCAGAAACGGGATTTTGTTCTTTTCTGAAAATCGCATCTTTACTCCATTTCGCAAAACAAATAAAATTTTTCAAGAGCCGAAACTTTGCGGAACCTAGCCTAGATCTCGTTCATAGTACTCTTCTGACATGTCTCACTCATAATAGATCGACAGATATACAAAAAGAAAAAAAAAAGGAGGTAGTCCTCTTTTATTTTTTATTTTTTATATGTTGATTAGGGACGGAGGAAAGTATTGTTGGGTTGGTTTCCTACCTACGTGTTCCCTCCCACCCACCCTTTGCATGCATTTTCGTGAGGGAGAAGACCCAGCAGCCACTCCAGCATCACGTGAGGGAGATCAGGTGGCTGCTGTCCAGCCGCGAAGCAACAAGCCCCGAGTGAACGGGAAGGCGAAACCAGCATCGCAGGTCGGAAACGGACAGCCAGCACCACCATGGGTCAAGTTCGGCTTGACCGAGGCCGAGTACAAGTACCGCAACCCTTACGGCTGCTGTTACTGGTGCAACAGCACCAAGCACAAGACCTCCATTTGCCAAGATCAGGCCAAGGAGGATGTGCGGCCTCGTCTTAACTCGGGAAACTGAGTTGCGCAGGAGGTGAGGCGACTCCACCTCTCACTCCGCCAGATTCGGCCGCCTTGCTAGCGGCCTCCTACACATCTGGGGAGGATGCGCATGTCGCAAGTCCTTGGTACAATTACGAGGATTCTGTTGTCCACTTGGTCCCACCGCTGGACCAACCGCTCCACGTGCAACAATCTAGTGCATGCATGGTTTCATCACCATCGGCAACCGATTCGGCAGCTTCGCCGCTATCTATCGCCGGGGATTCATCGTCGTGGTCAAGACTTGAGGTGCTCGACCCACTGACGTTCACGGACTTCCAGTGGATGCCCGTTCCCCCGACCGGACGATTGTCGAAACCACATTGCAATGTGCTCATGGCACAACTGCGAGATTACTTGCACACTGCAGTACCCACTCCATTGATGGACGCCGGGGTAGAGGTTGTCGACCTTACGCCTACATTGCGAAGATCGACCGCGAGTTCAAGACGCAACGGTACGACGACATCAACGCACCATTGCTATATGTACGCATTCAGATCGGAGAGGCGACCTGTAGCGCCTTGATCGATTGCGGAGCTACTCGCAACTACATCAGCCAGGACTTCATGGTCCGCGCTGGCCTTGGCCCACGCGTCCGGAGGAAGTCCCAACCTACGCAAGTCACGTTGGCGGACGGTCGTACGCACAAGTCAATCGACCGCTGCATCGACGAAGTCCCAGTGTACCCCTCACGCAAGTGAGGCGGTGTCCTTCGACATTCTGGACACCAACTTCGACATGATCTTGGGCATGTCATGGCTGCGAAGCGAGGATCACCCGGTGAACTTCTTCCACCGCACCGTTCACATTCGTGATCGGAACGGAGTATTAGTTCCATGCACGGTACCTCTTCCTCATCCTTCGATCAACTGCCACGTGGTATCCGCCGCAAGCATGCGAGCATCCATCATCATAGACGACATCAAGGAGATGGGGGTGTGTTTTCTCCACGCCCTCCCGCTTTGAGATGCTTCATCGACGGACTCATCTTCGGATCCACGCATCGCCGAACTTCTCGACGCCTACAGCGACGAGTTCGAAGGCCCGCACGGAGTAGTCCCGCATCGACCCATCCGCCACGAGATCATCCTCGAGGATGGGGCCATGCCTCCGCACGGTTGCATCTACCGAATGAGCGAGGAAGAGTTAAGTGTGCTCCGTGCACAACTCGACGATCTTCTAGAGAAAGGCTGGATTCGGCCTAGCTCATCGCCATACGGTGCTCCTGTTCTCTTCGTCCAAAAGAAGAACAAGAACCTGCGGTTGTGCATCGATTATCGCAAGCTCAACGCGCAGACGATCAAGAACGCCGGCCCTCTCCCACGCATCGACGATCTTCTCGAGCGACTGGGCGGCGCCAAGTTCTCCAAGCTCGATCTCAAGTCGGGATATCACCAACTCGAGATTCGCAAGGAGGATCGCTACAAGACCACGTTTAAGACGCGATATGGGCATTTTGAATGGTTGGTCATGCCATTTGGCCTTACGAATGCCCCAGGCACTTTCCAAGCGGCTATGACAACGGAGTTCCGACACATGCTCGATCGTTACGTACTTATCTACCTCGATGACATCCAGGTATACAGCCGGAGTTTGGAGGAGCATGTGGAACACCTGCGCACCGTTTTGGAGCGGCTACGACAGGCCAAGTACAAAGCAAACCGCGACAAGTGCGAGTTCGCACAGCAGGAGCTGGAGTACTTGGGACACTATGTGACGCCGCAAGGCATCCGTCCGCTTGCGGACAAGATC